GCATGACAATAAGTATTTGAAATTCACAAACAAAAAACGCAAAGCATAATAACATATGGGGCTCCCTACAGACGTATGTAAAAATATTAAATTAAGAAAAGACTCCTAATCTCAGCTCATTACAAAAAAAAAAACATGATAGTAATCAGTTAGCATCAGTATATGTAGGCTGTATGCACCATCGGGCGAGACAAAGGAGCTGTCTAAGACATCAGGGCAAAATTGTAGAACTGACCAAGTCTAGGATGGGACTCAAGCAAATATATGATAATAAATGTATAAAATGTGTACGATGTTGTTATTCTGGATTTTTTTGTGATGTTCTAACCCTCTGTTCTAAAATGTACCTATTATTAAAATTATACACAGTTCCATTCTTTGTAAGTGGGCAAACTTAATCTTAAAAATCAGCAAGGAATCAAATAATTATTGCTCCCACTGTAGACTGGTATGACATACCAGTTGCCAGCATTTTCTCCAAATAGTCTTTGAAGGGCCACTTCACACCAAAAAACATCTCTACTGGTGTATACTCGTGGAGATCGTTTTGGTTTTGGTTGGTGTGCTTACTCTGAATAACCTAGACCTCACAGTAACACTTTCCATTGGAACTTCTTTTTGCAGAAAAAATTGTCCCTATGAAAACTGACAGCATGTTCTTTGTATTATGCAGAGCAGCAAGAGCACTGTCCCTGGAAAAAGAAGTTGCTATTGAATTTTTTAAGTGTCACTGTGAATGAAGACAGCATCAGGGCAAAGAAGGCGACTACACCAGGGCCAGAGAGCCTCTAGAGGTCCAAAGGTTTAGCAATTAGTTTCTGGTAATTTGATGACATTAAAATGTATTTGGGAATATGCTCTAATGCACAATGTAACCATAAGTGACAAGGACCTTCTGTAGGCAGACTTGCTTGGCTTAAGCCTTGTAGACCATTGACAAATGCCCTCCATACCACTCGGTTTTTGACGGTTCTTTTGAGATCCCATCCAGTTGTACCCCTACCAGACATTTCTCCCTGGACACCTCTTCTTCAGGTGTTTTCATTGTTCGTTGGGGGTTCCATTTCAGGGCTTGTTTGTGGCAGGTTTTCTGGGTGTGCATCCTTTGAATCTGTAAGTTGTTGGGTACCTGGCTTGTTCTTTTCCGCAGGTCCACGTTACTTCTTTCATCTCTCTATTTTCTGCATGTTGCCTCTGTATTTTTACCTCTTGAGGGACTTTGTTTGTAGTCACAGATTAGGTATCTAGGTGTCAGGTATCATACCTTACTGACTACACTGACACACAGCCAACACGAGGTAGGTTATAAAATTATGACTAAGGGGAGTAGCAAGGGGCAAGATGTTCAAATTTCCATGTTTTTCAGAACGTTCATCAATGTTGCTTTATAAGCTGAGGTCAAAGTTAATTCTTTTTTTTTTTGTCACATCTTATTCACATATACAACATTTTTTACATTTATCCCCCCCTTCGAGAGATAAATCAAATGGAGAAATAAGTATATATTACAATAATTAAGAAATATGATAGAAAATAAAAAATAGTAATACAGACAGCAAAACCTCTCCTTTAACATTTAACTGTTATTCCTTGGTCTGGGAAGCACCTTCCAAAATATGTTAGATATTCTAGGTTCTCAATTCATAATCGAGAAATGGGGTCCATATGATAAAATAAACCAATTTTCCCTCTGAACCCGTATGTCAAATATTCCATGGGTAAAAGGTCAAATATTACCTTATGCCAATCTAAAAACTGTAGGTGGCTTATTTGAAATCCATTTCAGCAATATAGTTTTACGTGCAGCATATGTTAAAACGTTCTAACCATTTTTGACAATGAGATCCTTTTATTTGTGGGTGTGGTAATCCCAACAACAGACACATTGGGTCCAGATCCAACTCCTTATTAAAACCAAATCTAATTTCATAGCCACTTCTACCCAGAAATCCTGGATATGCACACAGGTCCATACAGTATGTATAAAGCTACCAACTTCCTTATACACTTGATACACAAAGCTGATTTCTTTGGATCCATCTTATGTCTGAGTTCAGGGGATATCTGAAGGCGATGCAATAACTTAAATTGTGATTCCTTTGCTCTATTACATATGGATATGTTGTTAGCATGCTCCCATATGTCCGCCTCCAAAGCTTCGTCTATTACCACCCAAAGGTCCAGACCCCATGTTTGCATAATTGTATTGTAAGCCTTATTGGACTTATAAAAGGCCTCATAGCATCGTCTTACTATAGCCTTATTGCTATGTATTTTGTATAGTAGTTA